CTCCTGGAAGGGAGTGAAGGAGGGATAGAAAAAGGGCAGAGAGATGGAGGATGAGCACTCTGTCCTTCACTCGCAGCGACCCCTAATATACCACCTCTCTGTTTATATACCTGCACGTCCCCTCCTCCACCCGTCCTGTCGTCTTTCATCCTACCCTCCCTACATCTCCTCCTCTCCTCTCCCTCCCTCTTTCCTGTCCCTTCTGGCTTCACCTTCCTTGTTTTCTCCTTTGTTACCTTTCACCTACTCCCTCTGCATCTCTCATCAACTACCTCCCCTCTGCACTTTATCACCATCTTTCTTCCTCCTCTTATCCATGTCAACAATCCTTTCTTTTTTTAAAATTTGTATCTGTATGAGAAATTCAAAGTTTAAATCCAGGTCCTAAAACTCACTTGTTTCATGATTTTAAAAATACATTAAGCATAAACAAATGTTCAAAGATGGCACAGTGAATCAGCAGCATATTTCCATACTGGATCACCAGGTGTCCAAGCAGCAGAGGAAGATCTGACATACTGTTTCTGTCTGTTGTTTACTTGCTCCCTCTCTCCCTCTTTCTCTCCCCACAAACACACACAGTCCTGAAACTCTTCCCATCAGGAGCTCAGCAGCGTCTGTCAGCTTGTCCATCACTGTGCTTACAGCCTTCACACTTTATACTTTTCCCCCCGGAAGAGAAGTAAAAAGTTGGAAAGAAGGTACAGAAGTGTGTATTGGATAAAAACAAATAATTCAAGCAATCAGTTTAGACATTGGCTGAGAACTTGATGTGAACAATAGTGAGGCAAAGTACAGCGGTTACTTCCAACAAATCAACAATGACAACAACTTAGAAGATTTTGAATAACTTTAGTCTTGAAAAAATGACACAAAACAATTGATTAGCTGTCAAAATAGTTGTCAAACATCCGTCTGACTATTGAATAAAAACAACAAATTGCTGCAGTTTTATTTGACCCACAAAATGAAGAAGTTAAAAAATGGTATTCAAACATATAACCTACTTAAAAGACACTGAGCATTGAGGCTGTGATATTTCATTCAAATATAATCCAGTGTGCTTTCACCAAAGCTAGTTTCAGTCCACACACACCCAATGGAAGCCTTTACTCAACTAGTATCAAAACACAAGATTCAGTGAGATAGTTCAATTTAAGATTCTGTTCCAGTCTGAATAATCTGTCAACTCTGTTTTCAGCCTGGTCTATAAATGTGAAAAAAAACAAATACATTCAGAAAAATCCTCAAACTGAGGCAGAAGCCAGAAGAAGTTTGGTATATGTGCTCAATTAATTTACATTTACAGAGATTGTATTTCTAACCTATATGTACAGAGTCCTAAAGCAGCATCACTGTCACATTTACTGAGGGGAAACAAAAACACCAAAGTAGAAAGGAAATTAAACACAACCTTGCTCTAATGATATCACTGTCAAACATGTGGTAACATTGACTTCACTGTGTGAACTCTGACAAAAAAAGGATCATTAATTTGATCTGAACATTCAAAGGTCTTATTCAGTCAGATGAGCAACTTCAGCAATGAGGCACGTTCCAATTACTCCCGTTAGAAAAAATCTGAATGTGAAATATGTTTGCGATTTCCTTCCTGACCTGTGCCTTGTGCAGGTGTAGAGACTGAACAATTATCCTTAACTAACGAGGCTGAGTCACAGTGGAACATGAAATCAAATGAACCCAGTAATGAGGCTCCAGGCCACAGAGGGGTCATCTACCGAGAGCAAAGGTTGTCACAACACAAAAGTGCTAATACGTGAAAACACACGCCTGCAGTGTTTAATCCACCGCATGATATCATGTCACAAAACTTATAGATGATGACACAACCTTCATGTTGAGGAAACTAAAATTATCCTAAAAACTCAAAAAACTTACCTGTGAACTTATCAATACACACAAAGAATAAAACACATGGGGGGGTGCAGACTATGACATGTGAACTAAACAACAGAATAACAATATTTATAACAATCATGGAGAGGTGTGTCAATGTTTAAAGCATTCCTGCAAATGAAATGTCTGACAGCGATGATATCTGAATTTATATATGAATATGTGTTCTACTGCAGTTCTGTGACAGCAACTTTAACTGTGAATGTACTGCATGTCCTTTAATAAAGATAATTCAATCTGAGTTCTTTTTTATTTTGTCTATCAAACATCTTCAGGCATCAATCATTAGAACGATTTGAGAAATTAAAGAACAACCTATTAACACCCAAAATCACAGCATGTAAGAGCCACACACACACACACACACACACA